TTTATCCATGTTCTAGAGCTTTAGAGGAAGGTCTAGAAGCAGTGGGTGGATCTGAGGAGTGGCTAGCCTATACTCTGGAGGGAGTCTGGCCAATCCCAAACAGGAGGCTTGGCAAAGGGCCTGATCAGCAGGGAGATTTGGAGGGGAGAGGGAAAAAAGAGGATGTGAGGCTAGTTGCAGGAGCCTGTAAGGGGGCCCAGATGGAGATAAGGGGGCCCAGATGGAGAGGGGCTTACCTGCAGGCGGAGGACCTTGGAGGGTGAAAAAACTTGGACTTTACCAGCCCCCTGAGAGAGGACCAACTGTGTGGCAGGGAAGGAGCAGCCCAGCTAACAGGCCTGGTAGCAGCCACCAATGCACCGGCAGCACAGGAGAGGCACCAAGTGAATAAACCTACACCCCCTAAGCTCGTAATGGGAAAGGAGCGCAATAGTGGGAAACTGGATTTGTTATCTTACCTGAAACTGTTTCATGCTGCAGTAGCAGTCACTTGATACCCAGCCCAGGGATTCATCCAGTACAGCTGGATAAGGAGAGGAGCCATCTGGGGTCTGGGGTGGTACTACAGGAGATGCTGGCTAGGTCTCCAGAAGAGAAACTTTGCTGTAGAGACTTGTATATAGTTGCTAAGGAGTTTTTCCTCAGTTTCCATTTCCCTTGGGCATTCCAAAAAAAAAAAAAACCCTAATAAAACTTCAAAACAAGCTCAAGGACTGTTTTCTGTCTCCTAATGCAAGTTTGAATAAGGAAATGTATGATGCTTGGCTGTGTAGAACTGTAAGGTGACAAAAATATCTTGTAATTCCTAAGGGGGTAGTGCTACACCAGTTTTTAACATTTGGCTCCTATTGACTTCAAACTGCCTGAACTTCTGCTTGACCATACTCCAGCAGCTGCATTTGCATCAGCAAACAACCAACAAGTATTTGTGCAAACATAGTATAATAACAGCATCAGGGGATCTGTTTTTTTTCACCCCATCAGTGGCTCCTTATGGTGTAACTCATTTTTTTAAATTTAAAAATGAAATCTGCTAGCTCTCTCCTCCTAAAGTAGCAGCCTATCAAAAGTGATTAAACGTTGTGTTGCATATCCATACAGTTTTTCTGTCTTCAGTCTCAGAAAAAAAGACACTTTTTCATTTCCAAATAGTGTTTGTCTTCTCTCTCCCTCTGAAATAGCATCCTAGCAGAAAAGGAGTACATACTGTTCAGCAAATATGTATATTTTTCTGTCTTCAGGCTCAACAGATAGACACTGTAATTTTTTTACTTTCAAATTAAATCTGCCTGCTTTCTCTATTTGAAATTGTATCCTAGCAAAAAAAAGTACTGTATATACTATGCAGAAAATCTGTGCAGTTTTTTCTATATTCCAAATCAGCAACTAGACACTATAATTGTTTTATTTTTAGATGACATCTGCCTGTTCTCTCCATCTTAAATGTCAATCTAGTGAAACAGGATTACATACTGTACTGCAATTCTCTTAAACGTTTTTGTTTTATTTCCATATTAAATTGCTTGATTCCTCCCTCTGAAATTACATCTGAGCAAAAAAGGAGTACAACATGTACTATAAATCTGTTAAATTTTTCCATCTTTAGATTCAGAAAAAAATTACTGCAATTGTTTACTCTCAGATGAAATCTTCTTGATAGCGCCATCTGAAATTGCATTTTAGCAAAAGAGGAGTACATATTGTCAAATAAATCTGTACACTTTTTATGTTAACCGTTTAAAAAATGTACACTGTCATCTTTTATTTTCAAATTAAATCTGCTTGCTCTCTTCCATGTGTTGTAGCATTGTATTATAGTAAAAATGGTGCACATGGCATCCAGAAAATCGGTACAATTTTTAGTGTTTAGCCTTAGAAAGCATATACTGTCATTTTTAATTTCATGGTAAGATCTACCCAGTGTAACCCATTTCCATTATGTCCTTGTAAAAATGTTGTGCAGCATGTCAATGTAATATTTCTGGATTTTAACTCTAATATAATAAACTGTCTTTTTTTTTTCCACAATAAAAGCTGCCTCATCTCTTCATCTAACATAGTGGCACAGTAAACAGCTGGATGCTGGCTTTGAATTAACACTCTAATTGATATTTCTTATTAAAAAGGGGCTTATCTTTTGCTCTAACATTGCTAACCAGTGCCTGGTTAAGCTAGATTCCCTGCTGTCAGCAGAATGTAAACAAAACAAGTGGTGGTAAAAAAAACAAAACAGCGTAGGAGTCACCCCAGGCCGTTTGTGTTTGGTATGGATTTTGATGGGATCCCCATGCCTAAATTTAAAAAAAATATAGCCCCCCAAAAAAATTCACACCAGCCTCTTATCTGAGCATGCAGCCCAGCCCCCCCCCCCCCCCCCGAACCATACCAGGCCACATGCCCTGAACATGGAAGGGGCACTTTGGGGGAGGGGGACTCTTGGGGGGTCTGCTGGCGAGGGCTTACATAGTACATAGTACCCCTACTCATTCACCAAAAAAGTGACAAAAATGTAAAAAAAAAACATTTTTTTTGACAAGTTCTTTATTAAATAAATAAATGTCCCCCACAGTAGATCCAACACAATCATCAATCACAATGCTGATAACAAGTCGTAATTGGTGGGTGGGCTTTTTTTTTCATGCAGGTCAATGTTTATCGTGATTGACTTTGAATCTACTTCAGGGACATTTATTTTCTTGGGGAGGTTTAATAAAGAATTTGTCAAAAACTGTGTTTGTGTTTTGTTTTTTTTTTGGCTTTTTGATTTTTTTTTTAGGTAAATGAGTAGGGGTATGTACCCCCATATTCATTCACATGGGGAGGCTTGGATCTGGAGGTCCCCTTGTTAAATGGAGCTTCCAGATTCTGATAAGCCCTTCACCTACAGACCCCCTAAACATCAGCCTGGGTTGTGGGGAAGAGGCCCTTGTCCCCATCAACATGGGGACAAGGTGTTTTGGGGTTGCATGCTCAGATAAGGTTCTGGTGTGGATTTTAGGGGGGAGCATGCCATTTAAAAAAAAAATGCTGGCATGGGTTTCCCCTTAAAATCAGTAGCAGGCCTAAGGGTCTGGTATGGATTTTGGGGGGGAACCCCAATCTGTTTTTTTTTTTTATTTTGGTGTGGAGTTCCCCTCAAGATCCATACCAGACTGGAAGGGTTTGGAGGGGACCCCACACTATGTTTTTTATTTTTCGTCTTTTTTGTTATATATTCTGCTGACAGCAGGGTAAGTCACGGTTGTTAGGGACGTGGCGGCCGCTGGATCCTTAAAGCAGAAATACACTGCAGCCGAGCACCACAAACCAAAAACGCTATTTAATTCATTTTTAATATTAACTACTTGCCAACCATTCTGTAGCAGTTTTACTGCTAGATTGCTGTACCCATTGCAAGCTTACCAATATACACACCCACACTCCTTTCTTAAAACAACCCAGACTCTTTTGAACAAATTTATTTGGGCCAAGAAGCTATCTAGGGGTATAACACAGGATACTATGGATACTATAACTTGCGAAACAAAGACAGAAGAATGTTCCTTTCAAACATAAGTCTCTACCATTCTGCAGTCCACCATACCTGGATAGTAGAGTGGTGCAGACACTACAAAATTAAATTCTGTGTTACTGAAATTAAATTGACTTTCTCCTCCGTGCCCCTTAGTGCATTTCCCTGGTCTGGAATGACAAATACACCTACTATTAAACAGTACACAACTATTTAACCTACATGATCCATAACCCAGACTCCCTTTAATGAGGGAAGTATATCATCTTATCCTTCACTGTTAAACCCTGATCTTAGGGAACTTGTCTTTCCCTCCGGGCTTCTAGAACCCAGGTAAAGATCTTGCCCAGCTAAACACATTCCCTCCTTTTTGCTATAAAGTCCCCCAGACATATAAGGACTTCATGATCCCTCTTGTTTCAATGTTCCCTAAATCTTCAGCCCAACGTTGGAGCTGTGGATCCTCTTCAGAAGACTTACTGCATATCTTTTGGTCCTGCCTCAAACTGGGTCTTTTTATGCACCTGTCAGGGCTCCCGGGTGTGACCAGAGGTGTGTGACTGACGCAGGGAAACGCAGACTTCAGATATGTTATAAACAACGTAATTTATTAACACTAACAATACAAACATAAACGCAGTGCAATACTAAAACATAACACAGTGCAAACAAACCAAACCAACCACCCACAGATAACAGTACATACATACAATGCAAGCGTCGTCAGGCAGGCCGGGTCAATATCAATCGGGCAGGTAGGTACAGGGGGAGCAAGCGGAGAATGGTCGGGGTCACAAGCCAGGTTCAGCAGGTAGCGGGCAGCGTGGTACAGAGGGTCAGGCAGAGGAGAATGGTCAGACAAGCCAGGGATCAGGAGCAGGAGAATGGTCAGACAAGCCAGGGATCAGAGCAGGGTCAGCAGAGAATCATACAGGAACAGGAACAGGAAACAGAGCCCAGGAGAAACACAACACCAAGGCAGAGTCTGCAGGTCTGAATGTCCCTTAAATACACCAGTATAATTAGTTCCAGGTGTTTGACTGGCTGCAAGGTTGAGTCTCTGATTGCTGGGAGCACCCGCTGGCCAGCCCTGGTACTGCAGCTTATAAGGCAGGTGAGTCCCACTATTGCTGGCCAGTCCATTCCTGACAGTACCCCCCCCCTCAAGGAGCGGCCTCAGGACACTCCAAACAGTCCTAGCTGGGCAAAATGTTCCACCGCCCGGGTCTGGTAACTGGGCGGGATATCAAAGACTGGCACACGGGCAAGGACTCCGGGCAGCGGCACACCGGGCAGAGGCACATCGGGCAGGACTCCGGGCAGAGGCACATCGGGCTGGACTCCGGGCAGAGGCACATCGGGCTGGACTCCGGGCAGAGGCACATCGGGCTGGACTCCGGGCAGAGGCACATCGGGCTGGACTCCGGGCAGAGGCACATCGGGCTGGACTCCGGGCAGAGGCACATCGGATTACCAGGCGAAGCAGCAGGCAGCGGGCCACCGGGCGGAGCAGCAGGCACCGGGCCCCCAGGCGGAGCAGCAGGCACCGGGCCCCCAGGCGGGGCGAAGGGCACCGGGCCCCCTGGTGGGGCGACAGGCATCGGGCCCCCAGGCGGGGCGACAGGCATCGGGCCCCCAAGCGGAGCGGCGGGCGCCAGGCCCCCAGGAGGGGCAACGGGCATCGGGCCCCCAAGCGGAGCGGCGAAATCGGGCCCCCAGGTGGGGCAGGCATCGGGCCCCCAGGCGGGGTGACAGGCATCGGGCCCCCGGGCGGGGCGACAGGCATCGGGCCCCCGGGCGGGGCGAGAGGCATCGGGCCCCCGGGCGGGGCGACAGGCATCGGGCCCCCGGGCGGGGCGACAGGCATCGGGCCCCCAGGCGGAGCGGCGGGCGCCGGACCCCCAGGCAGAGCGACAGGTCTCGGGCCCCCAGGCGGAGCGGCGGGCGCCAGACCCCCAGGCGGAGCGACAGGTCTCGGGCCCCCAGGCGGAGCGGCGGGCACCGGACCCCCAGGCTGAGCGACAGGTCTCAGGCCCCCAGGCGGAGCGACAGGCCTCAGGCCCCCAGGCGGAGCGACAGGTCTCAGGCCCCCAGGCGGAGCGACAGGCCTCAGGCCCCCAGGCGGAGCGACAGGTCTCAGGCCCCCAGGCGGAGCGGCGGGCGCCGGACCCCCAGGCGGAGCGGCAGGGGCGCCGGACCCCCAGGCGGAGCGACAGGTCTCGGGCCCCCAGGCGGAGCGGCGGGCACCGAGTCACCAGGCACGACAGTGGGCTCCGAGTCAGCTGGCAAGACTGCGGGCACCGAGTCAACTGGCAAGACTGCGGGCACCGAGCCAACTGGTGGAACAGCGGGCTTCGAGTCGTCTGGCAAGACTGCGGGCACCGAGTCGTCTGGCAAGACTGCGGGCACCGAGTCGTCTGGCGGAACAGCGGGCACCGAGGCTGGCAAGACTGCGGGCACCGAGTCGTCTGGCAAGACTGCGGGCACCGAGTCGTCTGGCAAGACTGCGGGCACCGAGTCGTCTGGCGGAACAGCGGGCACCGAGTCGTCTGGCAAGACTGCGGGCACCGAGTCGTCTGGCAAGACTGCAGGCACCGAGTCGTCTGGCGGAACAGCGGGCATCGAGTCAACTGGCGGAACAGCGGGCACCGAGTCGTCTGGCAAGACTGCGGGCACCGAGTCGTCTGGCAAGACTGCGGGCACCGAGTCGTCTGGCAAGACTGCGGGCACCGAGTCGTCTGGTAAGACTGCGGGCACCGAGTCATCTGGTGGAACAGCGGGCATCGAGTCAACTGGCGGGACAGCGGGCACCGAGTCGTCTGGCAAGACTGCGGGCACCGAGTCGTCTGGCAAGACTGCGGGCACCGAGTCGTCTGGCAAGACTGCAGGCACCGAGTCGTCTGGCAAGACTGCGGGCACCGAGTCGGCTGGCGGAACAGCGGGCATCGAGTCAACTGGCGGAACAGCGGGCACCGAGTCGTCTGGCAAGACTGCGGGCACCGAATCACCAGGCACGACAGTGGACTCTGACTCAATTGGCACGACAGCGGGCACCGGGTCATCAGGTACCGGATTGTCTGGCTCGACAGCGGGCATCGTGTCACCAGGTATGACAGCGGGCACTGGGTCACCAGGCATCAGGTCATTTGGCTCGCCAGCGGGCACCACGTCATCTGGCAAGGCAGTGGGCACCGAGTCACCAGGCACGACAGCGGGCTCTGAGTCAACTGGCATGACAGCGGGCACCGGGTCATCAGGTACTGGATTGTCTGGCTCGACAGCGGGCATTGGGTCACCAGGCCTAATAGGATCGTCAGCTGGATCAGTTCATCAGGCTGAATGCAGGCATCCGGCTGAGTAAAGGCATCAGGCTGAGTAGAGGCATCGGGCTGAGTAGAGGCATCAGTCTGAGTAGAGGCATCAGTCTGAGTAAAGGCATCAGGCTGAGTAGAGGCATCAGTCTGAGTAAAGGCATCAGGCTGAGTAGAGGCATCAGGCAGAGTAGAGGCATCAGTCTGAGTAAAGGCATCAGGCTGAGTAGAGGCATCAGGCTGAGTAGAGGCATCAGGCTGAGTAGAGGCTTCAGGCTGAGTAGAGGATCAGGCTGAGTAGAGGCTTCAGGCTGAGTAGAGGCTTCAGGCTGAAGAGAGGCATCAGGCTGAAGAGAGGCATCAGGCTGAGTACAGGCATCAGGCTGAGTAGAGGCTTCAGGCTGAGTAGAGGCTTCAGGCTGAGTAGAGGCTTCAGGCTGAACCACGGAAGGCAGGTTCACCTGTTTGGATACTGGCAGGATGGTATTGGTTGGAAAGAATTTTCGCTTTTTTCTGGTTTTAACTACTGGAGCACTGCAAGTAAACGCAGGTCTGCAAACGAATGGAGCAGCTGGAGACAGAGAAGAGCTGGAGGATGGAACAGGGGAGGGGAGCAGTTGCTACAGAGGGCTTTTTTACAGGGTTAAAGGCAGGATAGGTTCAGCGAGTGGGAACAGGGTACTGACATGCGATAGATAGCAGGGCAGGAGGAGCTGTTGGGAATGCAGGAATAGAGCTTTGAGGAAATAGATTAGAAGCAGGACTGGGTTTTTGTAAGCTGACTGAGGCTGGGTGCAACAAATCTGTCCATGTCTGCAGTATGGGTTGAACAAAGCTCAGTTTACACAAAGCCTGTCTGGTCAATGACTGCACTGCGTTTATACAATCTCTTAGTATCTGTGGTGAACATGCAGCATAATGCTCCAAGAAGCAATCCACATCATCCTCTAATAACCATACCAGGGACTCTACCTGGTGGTCGGCACTAAATGGCGGCAAAAATTCATCCCTGCATTCGGGGGTACCAGATGAAACCAACTCCGCACAAACCTGAATCAATGGCTGCACCTCAGAGAATTCTGTGCCCTGATCTACTAGAACATGAGCGAGCCGTATACATTCTAGCAGTTCATCCCGGGGATACTCCTTCAGAGTTTGATAAGCATACTCTCTGTCATCAAACACTAGCAGATATAAATACACAACCTCATCAAGATCCATCCTTCCCATCAACAAGCCAAGATGGCTTCCCTGTGCAGCCACTTGGTCAGGATTGGCCTTGGTGTAATGTCAGGGCTCCCGGGTGTGACCAGAGGTGTGTGACTGACGCAGGGAAACGCAGACTTCAGATATGTTATAAACAATGTAATTTATTAACACTAACAATACAAACATAAACGCAGTGCAATACTAAAACATAACACAGTGCAAACAAACCAAACCAACCACACACAGATAACAGTACATACAATGCAAGTGTCGTCAGGCAGGCCGGGTCAATATCAATCGGGCAGGGGGAGCAAGCGGAGAATGGTCGGGGTCACAAGCCAGGTTCAGCAGGTAGCGGGCAGCGTGGTACAGAGGGTCAGGCAGAGGAGAATGGTCAGACAAGCCAGGGATCAGGAGCAGGAGAATGGTCAGACAAGCCAGGGATCAGAGCAGGGTCAGCAGAGAATCAGACAGGAACAGGAACAGGAACAGGAACAGGAAACAGAGCCCAGGAGAAACACAACACCAAGGCAGAGTCTGCAGGTCTGAATGTCCCTTAAATACACCAGTATAATTAGTTCCAGGTGTTTGACTGGCTGCAAGGTTGAGTCTCTGATTGCTGGGAGCACCCGCTGGCCAGCCCTGGTACTGCAGCTTATAAGGCAGGTGAGTCCCACTATTGCTGGCCAGTCCATTCCTGATAGCACCAGGTACATACTTTCAATCAGAAATCCTTTGACTTTTTGATTCATTAAAAGAGAAGTACAGCCATAGCTCTTCTGGCTTTATTTCTCCTTTGGATCACAGGAGTGCTGTTTCATTCTGCACTCCTGTGACCCATTTTCAGCAGACAGTGGACTGAAGCCAACTGTCAGCTGATGTCACTCAGTCCATCCAGGCTGGATAAAAATCCTGACTTCAAAGTGGGAATCCATCCCTGAGTCTGGAGCGGCATCTGGCTCAGCCTCTCAGTGAGCCACTCCCTCCCCCTCCACAGCCTAGCGCTCCAGTGAGCACTGGGGGGTCAGAGTAGTCAACTGCTCTATGCTCAGAGCGGCTGTGAGCACGTAGTGAGTATTGGACCAATGCTGTGTCCACCTAGGTAAGTATAAATGGGGAAAAAAAAGAAAAAGGCCTACTTATCTTTTAAAGCACTGGTGCTCAACCCATGGCCTGTGGGCCACTTGTGGCCCTCAGAGCCCTCTGATGTGGCCCTCAACCTCAACTCATTTATTCTTCCACACTGCTTAGGGTTCAGTGTTGCCAGATATAGGTTTTATTTTATTTCCAGGATAGGATATGTATATATACAGTACTATCAGAGCTGCAAAATATAAGTAAAGCGTGCCCAAATTCAGTTATTACAGTCAGCAGAGTAGCTTGAACCTGAAACACTGGGGAAATACTGTAATTATTCACTCATTTTTTCACTACTGTCATAGATTTGAAGTATTTAAGGGCACAGTCAAAAATCTCTAAATGTTAAATTGCAGAGAAGCACATACCAGTGGCCTTATCAAATGTTTATATTCTTAAAGAAGAATTCAAGGATAGGCAAAAAAAAATCACCCATTAGTACACCCCCCTACACAAAACACTAAACAGTTAATACAATTTTGAAAATCCTCATCATTTAGGAGAAAAGTCTAATTGAATTTTCATTACCTTGTCTCTCTAATTCAAAAGATAACAGCATCTGCTCTGCCAAGGAAGAGATATAACAGCAGGGATCACATCATATCCTCTCCTCTCTCTCTCTACAGTAAAAGGAAATTACAGTTCCCATCAGCCACAGGTAATTGTAGTGAATGTGGGTGGGTACACTAGGTCTGTACATGTTGAATGTGTCTGAGAGTCTGAGAGTCCCAGTCTGCCCACCACTGCAAGTGGGGCTGCATTACATCACTGCTTCCTGAAGAAAGAACTACAGAAGCGATATGCCAAGACCGGTGGCTGGGGGAATAGGAGGCATAGCAGCCACTGGTCTTACAAACAGGAACCCAAAGAGAATTAACAGTTTCATTTGAAAAAGAATAGGCTATTTCAAAGCAACTACTGAGTGAACCAGGAGATGGATGACATATTCAGTGAAGGTAGGGAAACAGCAAAGAATTGAAGGTAGGGAAACAGCAACAGGGACATGTAAATAGGTTTTTGCCCAGAGTTCTACATTAGGTTAAATTTTTTAAATACAAAAACAGCCATAACAGCCAATTTGAATGTGTAAAATCAATTAAAACAGTGCAGCGCTACTACCTAAAACATCAAATACCAGTTTTTCACCACTGAGGAAGTCACATGATTGATGATAAAATGCTTTGGGCAGAGCTATGGGGTGACATCATCACATCACTATCACACAATAGGAACCCGGAAGTAGCTATGAGTATTGTATGTATACCGGCTGCCAATGTTCTAAGGCTTGTTGTTAACCACGTTGTGAAACTTGCGTGCCCTGCAGAGTGCACTATATTATGTAAATGTTTTTAATGGATTGAGAGTTTTTAATAACATTTTAGAGGATAAAGCACTATATAGTGTTTTTCTTCATTTTTGCCATGATGGTATAGGGACTGAAGGAGAAGAAAGGGACTTGCTAGAATTAATACCTGGAGACCCCGAGAAGGGGAAACATGCTATATATGGCCTAATATAATAAGTGGGTCATACAAAGAATGTGAGAGCACCTGGTGATTGTCAAGGTGGTGGAGGAAAGTAGTTCAAGCATTGGATGTGTGTGCATACGCAAGATATCATGGAATAACACTTGGAAGAAATCCACAAAAAGACTTTTTGTTGGATGTGGGATGTTTATTGAATAGAAACAGAGAGAAAACATGTTGTCACATTGCATGTTGGGTGTATATATGTTTATTGATTTATATTTTTGTAATTGGTATTTTATGTTTTAAGCTTCTTATGGAGTAGTGCTACACTGTTTTTGATTGATTTATACATATATACACAATAAGAATGTAAGATGCGAGCAGCAACTCAAGATAGGGAAGTGAACCGTATTTGGGGTGGCAGAGCCAAGTACTGTATATTGGAAAATACCCAATTAGAATGCATTATGTACTGATCTGACTTCAGCAGTTTGAATTCTGATTAGTTGTTATGGGTTTTTGTACTTAAAGTAAGGTTGCATATGGCCAGTATGTTATTGGTCTGCTGCCGTTAAATATGGGACTTGTTACCAAACTATGTTCCTTTCCTTGGCAAGATTCTATAAATTTAGAAATAGGTATTTTTTGTATTTGAAAACATGTAAAAACTTCTGCATAGACTCATAAAAAGATGTAGTCTGATGTACTTTCTCATTGTTAAATGACACTATGACCTTAAAAGTCAGCTTGTTATTGATATGTGTAAAGCATGTACTATTTTTGTATTGTATGTTAATAGAATTTACATAACTCTCCAATAACACGTACAGTGATTTAAATGCATTTAAACAGCTTGGCACTTTATACTGTGCATATATGTACTCTGACTGTTTATTGAAAGGCAAACACTTTGCAATGTCCTTCATAAAACATTCTAGAAAGTGCTAATGATCTTGTTTTACAGGAAAGGTCTGAAAGGGTGCTTTCTATTGACAGGCATTGTCATTTTCTGAATAAATTATGAGATACCATTATGAACACTTTAGTGAAGGTACAGTAGCGTGCTTTTGATTTGTACTCAATGTATTACATTAAGTCCCTTACCTGTCATGCCAGTTTTATAATATATAATGTATTAAAACTCTTGCTTTGGTTGCGCTGATAAACACAAAAAGATTAAAATCCAGTTTTATACAAAACTGTTATTTCAGTTTTATGCTGTTGTAAACAAGTGGAATCAAGCTGTGGTTTCTTTAGTTTCTCAAGAACTTGACAGCCAAGTTCTGTTAAATGCCATCAAAGGATGACAATACAAAGAAAATGGACCACGCATAGAATGTCTGGGCAAAGAGACTCTTTATTTAAATCATAAGTAAACTCTGAAAAATAAACTTTGAAAGGTGAAATTTTTATGACAGAAGAGACCCTATTGGTCTCTACTGTCATAAGTGGTTCTATTAGCCTGCGAATGTTACTGCACAGTGAGCCACATGGCATTTACGACCTGTGCGGGAGTGACGCCATCACAGCTTGGCCAGTCAAGAGGCCAAAGAGTTCAAATAGG